CTTGCGGTTTTGCATCCAAGTCTGTGGTCTCGCTGATTCCTGGGTGCGGGTCTCCTTCTACGCAAGTACCTCTTTGGGGGTCTTTCAGGCTCAATCATGAATTGCCCTCTCTCTCACTGAGGAGCAGACAGGTCTCTCTTTAGGACTTGTTTACTCCCTGGCTCTGCTCCATTCTTGGCCTAGCAGCTCAGTCAGCCAGAGTTTTCTCTCTCCTCCTTCAGATGCCCTCAGTGCTCTGCTGGGACTCTGTATATCCTGGCAAGGCAATGAATTATTAAAAATAATTTGTTTTCTAAGAGATGATATTTCATCTTTATAGATTTCCATAAGGTATAAGAAGCCAGACTGGTGCCCATAACTTACTAAGTCCCTGGGTCCAGATCAAATGCCAGCAGCCTTAAACTTACATCCCACTGCCTCTGGCAAGTGGAGAGTTTTGAGGTTTGCAGTCTACCTGACTAGTAACTCACAATGAGCCAAAGCCTGTACTGGGGACTGGTGGTCAGAACTGTGTCCCTAGTTTGGGCCCTCTGCCAGTTGCTGTGAAAACTCTACTCTTCACACTTGGCCAGAATCATGCAGTGGGGCCAGGATGTTTTCCCCAGGGGCCCAGGTCATTTATATATTCATTCAAGGTGTAGCCACTACAAGTGCTGGGGAGAAACTGAGTTCATGCCATTAACTTCGTGGGGACATAGACCATTCATTGGCTTAATGATCAGCCTCATTCATCCCAAAATTCTCTGTGCCCATCAGAGGGCTTCTGTGTTTTTCTTTTCACTAGTTTTGAATTTTCTGCCTACTTATGGGGAGAATAGATCATTTAATACAGAAGAGGCTAGGTCATCTAGTACCTCTAGAGATCGCCATAATCCTGGAGTTACTTCATCTCTCAGTCTGTGATCTTTTACTAGTTACTAAGTGGGGTGCTGGCAGGACAGCCAAAGATCTATTGATTCTCCTGGGTTCGTTATTCTTCCTAATTGAGCACTTTAAAATTAAAATATAATTACATCATTTCCATCCATTCCATTTCATTTTTTCAACTCCTCCATGTTCCCTCATCTTGTTATTGTTACACACACACACACACACACACACACACACACACACACCCCTAATGAGTCAATTCAGTGTTGCTTACATGTACATGAATTTAGGGGTGAACACTGGTATTTGATTGCCAATTGGAGGACTCCTTCCTGGACTCCTCCTCCTTTCTCTGTCTAAGAGTGGGGCCCCAAGAGGTTTCCCCTTCCATGCTACTGTATCTATTGGCATTATCAGTGTTCAAGTCTTGTTTGGGCAGCCATTCTGTTTTGTGAAACGTCCATGTAATTGCTAGGAGACACAATCTCAGGGTACATTTCCTCCTCTTCTGTGATGTTCCCTGGGCCTTAGGTTCGGGAGTTGTGTTTGTATATGTATGCATTAGGGCTGGGAACCCCATGATCAGTTTTTCTCTGCATTTTGACTAGTTGTGGTTTTCTATAATGCTCCCTGTTGCATGGAGAAGTTTCTTTAGAGAGTGTTAGGAGCTACACTCAGCTGTAGCATAAGGCTGAGTATTTAGAATGCAGTTAGAAATTCTTCTGATTTAGTAACATGTCAGTAGTAAACTCTCCTCTAAGCTCCATGACCTCACTAGTCCTGGAGGAGTTAGCTGGGTTTCCAGGACCAGGGATTATTTCCTGTAGTTGAGCATGCCTTAAGTCCAATTAGAGAGTTATTGGTTATCACCAAGATATGAGCACCATTAGATATATCTTGCTATGCTAGGCATTGTTATGATCCACAGATAGGTAGGACTATTGGCTACTTCTTTCCCTTGGCAGTTTGCAATGTGCCTCCTAGGACTGTGAGGGTTCATTTTCAGGGAGGAAACTTTGAGGTTAAATCCAGCTCAGATTCTTTGAGTCCTGTGTCTGAAGTTCATAGTGACTTCAGAAATAGAGACTTATCTTCAACCTCTGAGAGGAAACTAAGGGCACTAGCATAAGCTTATGATGTTTTAGGGATCTCTTGGATACCTGTGAACCACAATTCAAAGGGGAGTTTCTTATGCCTGGACCTGGAGTTATTGTTAGACAGTTTATGGTACTTGGGGGAGGCATTGTCAGCCCAAGTGACTTAACTGCATTTGAACTGTATATGTATTCCCATGAACATACACTGATATGCATTATATATAAGCTAGGGTAAATAAAAATTAGAATTCCTCATGTCTTGTTCAAACATCGTTAGTGATACTTTCCCTCCTCTCTTCCTCTCCTTCTGTATTGATCTCTCTCCTTTTCTCTGAATTAAAACCCCACTCATGAGGTCTTAGAAATAGGTATTATTTTAAATGTATGTGCATGCCCATGTGCCTGCATAGTTTTTATGCTCCCAGTGCTTGTAGGTGCTTGAGCAGGCCAGAGGGTGGCATTTGCCCCAGGAACTAGAGTTAGAGTGGCTTGGGAGAATGATTGCGTAGTGAAACCCGAGTCCTCTGCAACAGCAGTAAGTCACCTTAACTGCTGAGTCATCTCTCCAGCCCCATAATTGAGCATTCTTAAGTGTTTCAAGATACAGATTAGCAGAGAGACAGGAAATAAAGTGTACTAG